AAAGGGGAGGCAGGGAGGGGAGGGGGAGGGGGGGAGGGGGAGGAGGAGGAGGCGAGGGGGAGGAGGCAGAGGAAGGGGGGGGAGGAGGGGGGGGAGGGGGCAGGGGGGAGGGGGAGCAAAGGGGGGGAGGAGGGAGGGGAGGGAAAGGGGGGAGGGGAGAGGGGGAGGAGGAAGGGGGGAGGGGGAGAGGGGGAGGGGGAAGGAGGAGGAGGGAGAGGAGGGGGAGGGGAAAGGAGGAGGAGCGAGGAGGAGGCAAGGGGGGACAGAGGGAGGGCAGAGAGGAGGAGGAGGGAGGAGGGGGCAGAGGAGAGGGGAAAGGGGGAGGCGAGGAGGAGGGGGGAAGGGGGGGGAGGGGGAGAGGGGGGGAGGAGGGGAGGGGAGGGGAGGCGGAGGGGGAGGGGGGAAGGGGGCGGGGAAGGGGAGGGGGGGAGAGGAGGGGGAGGGGAGGCGGGGGAGGGGGCCGAGGAAAAGGGGGGGGGGGGGGGGATGAGGGGGGGGGGAGGAGGAGAGGTAGGGAGGGGGAGGGGAAGGGGGGAAAGGGGGGGGCGGGGGGGGAGGGAAAGGAGGGGAGGGGGAGGGGCAGGGGGTGGGGAGGTGGGGCCGAGGGCCCCACCAGAAGGGCCCAGGGGGGCAGGAGAAAGCCGGAGAAGCCCCAAACCCAAAAAATTTTTCCCCCATAAGAAAGGAAAGGGAATTTTTTTTTCCCCCCAGAGAGCAGAAAGGCCCCCCGGAACCAGAAGGGAGACAAAAGGGGCCCCCGAAGAAAAAGGCACCCCCTTTTCCCCGGCAAGGAAGTCCCGAGAAACCAAAACGCCCCAGAACCCCACAAGAGAAAAAACGAACCCTTTTTAAACCCCCGGGAAACCCCCCGGAAACCGGGGCCAACCAAAAGCCCCCGAAAAGCATGAGAACAAAAGACAAGCAATTTTCCCAAAGGGGGGCAAAAAGCCCCAAAACGGGAGAAACGGGACGAAGGGGCAAAAAAAAAGAAAAGGGGGGAAAAAGCCCCCCAAGCAGAGAACGGGGGAGGGCAAAAGTTTCCCACCCAAAAAACCCAGGAATTCCCCCCAAAAAAACCCCCGAAAGGGCTTTACGGGAGGGCCCCCCCCCCAAAAGAAAAGTCAAACTTAGCACCAGAAACCGATTTTTTTCCCCCCCCCCCCCCCCGGGCCCCCCGGGCCCAACAATTCCCCCCCCAAAAGGCGGGGGGGCACCGAGTCCCTTGGTTTTTTCTTTGTTTTTACTGTTCCTCCTCCTTTTTTATACACTCCCCCGTCATACTATTCCCCCTACCCCTTTCCTTTTTACCGCAACCTTGCACAGTGGCTTGTACATTCATATTTTCCTATGTTCCCTGTCACGAAAAGTTTTGTTATCCCCCTCTTTCTCCTTTGCCCTCTGCATCTGTGTTCCTCAGTTCCTTCACAGCAGAAATTTCCCACTCTTCATAATTCGTTTTCTCGTATTGACTACCCTTCCCATTTCATAGACTCTGCCCTCTCACTGCTAAACGTAATTTCTTCTCTCCAAACTCTTACTCCTGGGAACTCCTCTGTCCTCTGCCTTTCCCCTACATTTCCGGTCTTCTAATCTCAAAATTCTTCCGTCCCTTAGACATCAAGCTTACTCTCCGCCAGACTAACACTCTTCGCACTAATCTCGTTCATACCTCTCCTCCCTCTACAGATGTTCCTGGTGTCTACTCTATTTCTTGCTCCTCATGTCCTCTTCAATACTTTGGAGAAACTGGTCAATCTCTTTCTGACAGACTTAGGGAGCACAAAAATAGTTAGGCTTGCTGACACTAATAATGCTCTTTTCTGTCAAGTCAGAGATCACAGCCATCCTGTTGACTGGTCTTCTGCTAAAACTGTCTTCCCTACTTCCAACTTTAACAGTCGCCATCTGGTTGAATCCTCCCTAATACAAAACTTTCCTCATATGAATCTTAGTCCTGGCTTCATCTTTGTGGATGCCTTCCTCTCCCACTACATTGTAAAATGCTCCAAACTTCAGAACACCTATGACTTAACCTGATTCCTCCTTTTTTCTTCTTCTCCCTCTTCCCCTTTCCTCTTTTCTTTTTCCTTTTCTCTTCTGGGCTGTCTTTCTTTCTTCTGTCTTGTGTTTCTGTTCCTTCATTATTTATTTCTTTTACTTCCCTCCCCCCCACTCTGTGTTCTTGCTCTCCCTCTGTGGGCACCTAGCTCCCTTGCAGTTCTCCCCTTTCTTTGTTTTTGACTGGTTCCTCCTCCTCCTTAATTCCCCACTACCACTACCACTGCTACTACTACTATTACCACCACTACCTCTTCCTGTCTATATATACCCGTCCTGCTCCACTTCTCGTTAGTGTGACTTTGTAAATGGTCCAAGTCGGACCGAAACGTCGTCGCAAGCTCCTCTCTTCTATGTGCAGGTTATTTGTGTATTGTTCCAGTAACGGTATTGTGCCTTTTTTTGTTATTTAGTGCTTTTTATAATAATAATAATAATAATAATAATAATAATAATAATAATAATAATAATAATATCTTCATTCACTCTAAAAATGATGTGTTGCTGTTTGTTTATTCTGTACTAATTTGTACACAATGTAAGAGTATTTGTATTGTGAGGTAATTATTATTATAATAAAAAAATATTGAGGTAAATGTTTTACAAGCCTTACAAAAGTATGTGAATGAACTAAAAGTAGACACATATTAATACGCATTTATTTCGCCTGACCAAGTGATCGTCCACTACCTGTTCAGTTTGTATTCTTACATTGTCTCAACTCTGTATCTCATTCTCTCTCTCGTTTACTCTTTCGTTAACTAGTTGGCTTTCATTGACGATGGCGTCTAAGGTTAGCTGTGATAAAAAGAGGAGTCGTAAGCCTCTTGCTTTAAGTGCCAAGTTAGAGGATGATGGTTTGCCATACTGATTTTATTCAATAAACACCCTGCCACTCACCTCTCACATATTAATATTTTAAGGTAAGTAATAAGTGTACTCTGTGTGTATCTTACCTTTTATTGTGTTTTTAACCCGTAAATGGTCCAAACGTATATATATGTTTTTTCAACATTTGAAAGTATGTAAAAAAAGTAGATCTTTTTGTTTTTTTACATTTGAAAATGTGTAAAAAAACTTTGATCTACCTTTTTTTTTTGTTATATTTGAAAATATGTAAAAAAAAAGTAGATCTACTTTTGTAGCACTTCACATGTGAACGTAGATCCGCTTGGACCGTTTACAGGTTAATGCCTATTTCTATTGCTAACTTAATATATGTTAGTGTAAACTTGTTGTCTGGCATTTATTACATATTTTATATGTGCTCTGAAATAATACCTGTGGACCTGTGTGGTAGCCGGGTGGAGGGACAACATTACGTTTTCTCTGCTCAGCCATCAGAGAAAACGTGTATGAATCTGCGTTTGGCCAAGCCACTCCCCCACTCCGCTTTTGTTTACAATTTTCGGCATGAATTATTCATTACTTCTCCCTTTGTTTATGATGCCATCTAAAGGTAGTTGTTAGAAATGATTAAATTCAGTGAAAAGGTATGTTCGATTTTTAATTAATTATGGCTCTGGGCTACTACTGATTTCCCTAAAAATTTATACTCACCTCTCTTCCTATATTAAGACTACACATATTTTAAGGTTAAATATGAGTGTATGTATATGTATTTTACCTCTCTGGGATTTTTTTAAATATCGTTATTAAGTTGAGACGGGGAGCCAGGGCTACCTACACCTGGGCTACCTGCACCTGACTTCCTACAAATAAGTACTACTCACCTCTCTCCCTACATTAAGATTACAAATACTTTAAGATAAGTAATGAATGTACTGTGAATGTATTTTACTCTGTGTGTTTTTAATGCCTAGTTCTATTACTAACTTAATATAATTTAGTGTAAACTTGTTGTCTGGCATTTATATGCATTTATAAATGGAAAAAATGGCGTTCTGCCTTCCGGCGATGTCTGCTTTCCGGTGACAGCCTTGAACCTAACCCGCCGTATAAGTGGGGCCCTACTGTATAACAGACAAATGGGGTAATTGTCCAAATGTCCTTTAATCAGAATAATGTCATAGCATAAAAGGCACTACAGTATTCTGCTGTATAATTAATACAGTACTGTTCACACAATTTACTGTTATACTGCAATAAATATTGAAAACAATGAAGTTAAAAGTACAATGTACATAAAGGATTTTGCCCATTATTTTTGAAGTCCATTATATCAATGATGTAGTATACCTGATAAAGCCCTACTCCAGGCAAAACGTGGTCTAATAAAAAGGCTCTCTATATGTGTTTTACATTCTCTGTTTGATGGGTACTTGCCATTTACTGCAAAATTTCATTCACCAAAAATCTGAACTTTTTTATTAGATATGAACAATGTAAAAGATATATATTATACAAGTATTATAAATCTCAAAAGCATAAAAATAAAAATATTTAGCTACACAATTACACATTTTTCTAGTAAACCTCAATAGCAATTATATATTTCTGGCTATAAATTAATGCATATAGATGTCTGTCCAAATTCGGGAATTACATCCTAAACATGCCACAAAAATAAAGACAGAATAATACAAGAGTACCTCTGAAAAGCAATTCTTTTCAAATTCAAGTTCATTTAGTGTTTGAGGAACACATCCCTTTAACATATCATGCTACTCTGATTAATACTGACATTCATAAAAAATAATGACCAAAATAGATACATGTATTTGGGCATTGTAAAACCACCAAGGCAGAAAAAATGTTGCATATCTAAATCGATTTATTTTCGTTCTCGTCAGCCAAAATAGTGTACAACTGAAATCAAGAGAATATGGAATCCTGCAAATTTGGAATGATGACTGCATACTGTATCAAAATTGTATAAACAATTGCATACTCTTTTTTGGTTGTACTGGATTGTAAAAACAAAAACAGTTATATATTCCTTCCAGTACTGCATACTGAAAAGGATAATGATCTTTAAATACCTTGTTGACAAAAATTGTTGAGCCAAAAAGGATTAAGTATATGAGAAAGTCAATTGGCTGCTTGGTAGGTGTCATTGTCCCTGACCCTGGTGACCCACAGCCCACTAATCTGCAAAGAAAAGAAAGTTTGTAAAATACTGGAAATATGCTACAATTAACCCCTTCTATAATACAGTACATGAAGAATATGATGAATAGTTAAGAAGTCAGTAATCCTGCCACAGGTCAATTCAGAGGTACAATAAGACAACTTATAAGAATAAATTACAATAACTGTGTGCATGGAATTGCCATCAAAATTTCTAAGTAAGTTATCAAGCATTTGTTACTGCTAACTATCTTCAAGGCTTGTATCTCTGGTTCTATTATACTTACCCTGTAAATCAAACTCAAGTGATGTAGTATCATTAATCTTAAATCTGCCGCAAATGCACTGTATAACTACTGGCTTTTCTGTGTACGACACTGCGTATGTTAACCAGTGTAATACAACTGTATCCTCGTGGAATATAAACATGTAATGTTTTAGTAACACATACAGTTCTGTATCAAGGCTGGTGGAGTGTGAACATTCTATTATGCACTGGGCATCTGTGGCATAATCCACCTATTACTACTTTTTTATGCTTGTTCCTCTACTTATTTGCTGACTTGCCATTCTGACTGATGTGCCAAACACCAGTTCCTTTTACAGTATTATGAAGTGTAAGATCATTGGCAAATCTGATCAATTAACATTGGTGCAGATATAATCCATGCACAGATAAACAAAACTTGTGACGACATTTCAGTCCAAATCAGACCAAAACATTGTCATTCTCCTGTTAGCGGGTTATTTGTGTATTGTTCCATTCATGGTGCTGTGACTTTTTATTCTAACATTGGTGGACTATGGGCATCTCACTTTCTCAGCTTTCTTTGTGGCCAGGAACACCTTGCCTGCCTGAGTGTGCATGCTCCCTTTTCATTTTTCACCCACATTTGGGTAATATCTTAATCCAGCTCCCTGGAAGGTAGGACTCAATATAGTACTGCATTAGTGTTAACACTTCAGGTTCGAACCTATGAACTCTGAGAAGGGAGACGCAAGTGTGCATGTGTACCCGGCAATATGTAAACAATATGTAAACAATAGCAGGTAGTATCTCTGCTGCTGCAGAAAATCAAGTAAATCAAGCTTTGCTAATATGTTATTATTAACTAGTTACACTTGGGAAATAGTTATTGATTGATAAATTTCCCCATGATCCAAGTTAATAACCTTCCCATTAGCATGGCACAGTGGATGATGTGTTGTATCATTTGCTTAGTAAGGCTAAGTATAAGTACTAATGGGTGTAGCTAGTGACTAGATGGGCAACCATGTAGAAATATTCATGCCCTTTTAACCTTTTCGGGGTTTCGGCCGTACTAGTACGGCTTATGCACCAGGGTCCTTGATGTACTAGTACTCATAAATTCTAGCACCTTCAAATCTAGTGAGAGAAAGCTGGTAGGCCTACAGTTTACCTGGAGTTTACCTGGAGAGAGTTTCGGGGGTCAACGCCCCCGCGGCCCGGTCTGTGACCAGGCCTCCTGGTGGATCAGCGCCTGATCAACCAGGCTGTTGCTGCTGGCTGCACGCAAACCAACGAGAGCCACAGCCGGTGATCAGGAACTGCTTTAGGTGCTTGTCCAGTGCCAGCTTGAAGACTGCCCGGGGTCTGTTGGTAATCCCCTTATGTGTGCTGGGAGGCAGTTGAACAGTCTCGGCCCCTGACACTTATTGTATGGTCTCTTAACGTGCTAGTGACACCCTGCTTTTCATTGGGGGGATGGGCATGGGCTGCCAAGGGCTTTTGTTTCGTAGTGAGTGATTTTCGGGTGCAAGTTCGGTTTCTAGTCCCTCTAGGTTTTCCAGGTGTATATAATCATGTATTCTCCCTCCTGCGTTCCAGGGAATACAGGTTTAGAAACCTCAAGCGCTCCCAGTAATTGAGGTGTTTTTTTCTCCGTTATGCGCCCGTTTAAAGTTCTCTGTCCCTTTTCTAGGTCGGCATTTCACCTGCTTGAAAGGTGCTGTTAGAGTGCAGCAATATTCCAGCCATAGATAGAACAAGTGACTGAAGAGTGTCTCATGGGCTTGGCCTCCCCTAGTTTTGAAGGTTCTCATTATCCCTCCTGTCATTTTTCTAGCAGATGCGATTGATACAATGTTTATGGTCCCTTTAAGGTGAGATTTCCTCGACATAATCACTCCCAGGTCTTTGACGTTGGTGTTTCGCTCTATTTTGTGGCGAATTGTTTTGTACTCTGATGAAGATTTTAAAATTTTCCCCATGTTTACCATATTGGTAATTGAAATTTCTCATCGTTGAACTTCATATTGTTTTCTGCAGCCCACTGAAAGATTGGTTGATGTCGCCTGGAGCCTTGCAGTGTCTGCAATGGAAGAACTGTCATGCAGATTCGGGTGTCCATCTGCAAAGGAAGACACGGTGCTGTGGCTGACATCCTTGTCTATGTCGGATATGAGGATGAGGAACAAGATGGGAGCTAGTACTGTGCCTTGTGGAACAGAGCTTTTCACCGTAGCTGCCTCGGGGCTTTACTCTGTTGACGACTACTCTCTGTGTTCTGTTAGTGAGGAAATTATAGATCCATCGACCAACTTTTCCTGTTATTCCTTTAGCGCGCATTTTGTGCGCTATTTCGCCATGGTCACACTTGTCGAAGGCTTTTGCAAAGTCTGTATATATTACATCTGCATTCTTTTTGTCTTCTAGTGCATTTAGGACCTTGTCGTAGTGATCCAGTTGTTGAGACAGACAGGAGGACCTGTTCTAAACCCCTTGTTGCCCCGGGTTGGGGTAACTGATGGGTTTCTAGAAAGGGGTGGTGATCTTGCTTCTTAGGACCCTTTCAAAAATTTTTATGATATGGGATGTTAGTGCTATTGGTCTGTAGTTCTTTGCTGTTGCTTTACTGCCCCCCTTTTTGGAGTGGGGCTATTTTCTGTTGTTTTTAGTAATGAGGGACCCCCCCGTGTCCAAAGCTCCTCTCCATGGATGGAAAGGCTCGTGATAGGGGCTTCTTGCAGTTCTTGATGAACACAGAGTTCCATGAGTTGGCCCTGGGGCAGAGTGCATGGCATGTCATTTTTTCGCCTGTTCGAAGTCATTTGGCGTCAGGATAACATCGGATAGGCTTGTGTTAAACAAATTTTGTGGCTCTCTCATAAAAAATTCATTTTGATCTTCGACTCCCCAGTTGGTTAGCGGCTTGCTAAAAACTGAGTCATATTGGGACTTGAGTAGCTCACTCATTTCCTTGCTGTCATCTGTGTAGGACCCATCTTGTTTAAGTAGGGGCCAATTACTGGACGTTGTTCTCGTTTTGATTTGGCATAGGAGAAGAAATACTTTGGGTTTTCTTTCGATTTCATTTATGGCTTTTAGTTTTCCCGCGATTCCTGACTCCTAAAGGATTTTTTAGCTTAAGTTCGATGCTTGCTATTTCTCTGACCAGTGTCTCCCTGCGCATTTTGATATATTGACCTTTTTAGCCCCTCTGTTATTTTTTTTCCGTCGCCTGTAAAGGGGAGCGCCTGTCTCTTTCTATTTTTCATCTACTCCTCCTTTTTCTTAGAGGAATAAGCCCTTTTGCATAAATCGAGTGCCCACCGAGTTAATCTGTTCTAGGCATAAGTTTGGGTCTGTGTTGCTTAGTATATCTTCCCAGCTTATATCGGTTAGGACTTGGTTTACTTGGTCCCACTTTATGTTTTTGTTATTGAAGTTGAATTGGTGAATGCTCCCCCTGTACTAGTCTCATTTTGTCGGTCTGGGGCTCCACGCATACATGTTGAACCTCAATTATGTTGTGATCTGAGTATATTGTTTTTGATATGGTGACAATTTTTATCAGATCATCATTGTTAGTGAAGATGAGGTAGTGTATTCTCCAGTCTAGTAGGCTCTATTATTTGCTGGTTTAAAATTGTTTTTTGTGCAGAGATTTTTAAAAGTCGTGTGAGTGTGAGTTTTCATCGAGCTGCCTCCTGGTGTTATTACTGCAACAATATTATTTGCTATATTCCTCCATTTTAGGTGCCTTAAGTTGAAATCCCCCAGGAGCAAGATGTTGGGTGCAGGAGCTGGAAGATTTTCCAGACAGTGGTCAATTTTTTTTAAAAGCTGTTCCCGGAATTGCTGGGATGTTGATCCCGGGGGCTTGTTTGACTACCACAATGACTAGGTTTTTGGGTTTTCGAAAAATTTTTGCTAAAACTTCCACTACGTCATTTGAGGCATTAAGCAGTTCTGTGCAAACAAGTGACTCTGCAATGTACAGGCCAAGAATGGGTCTATGTGGTCAGTGTGCGCAGTATAAAAAAAATCCTGCAGCACACAGTGCATAATGAGAAAAATAAAACTTTGTGTTTTTGGATTAAAACAGTGACTTTGCACTGTATTTTCGTATGGTATTTATTGTTGTATTCTAGGTTTCCTGTTCTCATTGTATAGAATGGAAAACATATTACAGAAATTGAGATGATTTTGACTGGTTTTACAATGAAAAGTACCTTGAAATTGAGCTCAAAGTAGTAAAAATGTTCGATTTTTACCAAAGTTCAAAAGTAAACAAATCATGCTAAGCGTCCAATACACGTCAACTGGTGAGTCTAATATTCTTTTACAAGTGCGTCAATATTATTTATACCATTTCTACACTAATGCAGTAGTCTACATAACAGTAAATCTTCTATTTTTTGTGAGAATAAAAATTCAAAATGGAAAGCAAAAGAATGTAAGATGGGCATGGGGATGTAACTAATGAACAGAGGAAATGTTATTTTAGTGCCAGGAATGTCTTTCTTGTTTATTCTGGACCCTATTTGGAAATTGGCATCTTTTGAAATTTGTGTGAAATTGGCAAAATTGCTCAATTCTGAGCACTGTATTGGATAGTTGAAATCGGTAAATTGGTGGTTTCTTGTACTCATTCGTTAGATTGTTATGCAGAGCATTTTCGTGCAAATTAGGTCAATTTTGTTAAAGGAAGCTATGCAGTTGACTAACACCCAGGTACGTACCCATTTTACTGATGGTGAACATTGGACAGCAGGTATGATAAGGAAATACATCTTATTAATCTACATTATGTACTTTCATATACCCATTACACATTATAAAAAAAAATTATAAAAAAATTAATTGGTACGTTATGTATGTACATTGGTTAGCATGCTCAATTAACACCTAAGAGGACGTGGAGTTGAACCACACATGAGTAGACATATGGGCAAGACTACTATCACCTACCAAACCTTTTAGGGCTATAAACCTATTCTTTATTTATTTATTTATTATTTTTTATTTGGACATGATACATAGTTGTACAAAGAAATATAGTGATTGGGTGTACATGCCAAAAGCTCCTTGTATGCAGAACATTATGGGCAGGCTTAAAATTAACTTAAGATTAACTAAGCAATGATATATCCAGTGGTAAAAATTACAGTAAACAAATTACAACATGAAGTACAAAAGAGTATTTCAAGTAAGTAGCATTAAAGTTGTACAATTTGTAGCATAACAATGTATAATATAATCGAATCAGATCGAGTAAAATTAATGATTTGAAGTGCAGAAACAGGTCATATGGTCATTAGATGAGTTACGGTGCATTCAAGAGAATGGAGTATTCTATTAGATAATGTAATTAAAAAAAAACATAGTTTAATAAGGTCACAGGTTATACATTTATGAGATTCAGTTATTCAGTATTTATTTAGTTGTGGGTGAGTAAGTGGTTTTTAAGAAGAGTCTTGAATTGATAAACAGACAGTATTTCTTTTATATTCATAGGTAATGAATTCCAGATTTTTGGGCCTTTTATGTGAATTGAGTTTTTACAGTGTGAGATGGACACGAGGAACATCAAAGAGTGATCTGTGCCTTGTGTTATGGTCATGTGTTCTGTTGAGGTTGGTAAGGAGAAGTTTCAGGGAAGGTTTTAAGGGCTCTTTTAAGTTTTTCTAATATAGACTCTTCAATATTAAGTGAGTTATGTGATAGAGACAGTTATATTTTGTGTATATGGGGATGAAGTATTTCTTTTTTGGTAACTCATAAAAGTAACTCAACCTAACTCAAGTAGGTTTACTTAGGTAATTAAGTAAGTTTATTTAGGTACAGGTACACATAACTCCAATTTTCATATATAGCAACATAGGTGTACACTACCTAGAATAACCCAAAAAACATACCTCTGTGGCCTGGTGGCTAACGCTCTCACTTCACACTGCGAGGGCCTGGGTTCGATTCCCAACCAGAGTAGAAACATTGGGTGTGTTTCTTTCAACCTATTGTCTATGTTCCCCACCAGTAAAATGGGTACCTGGGTGTCAGTCGACTGGTGTGGGTTGCATCCTGGGACACTGACCTAATTTGCCCGAAATGCTGAGCATAACAAGGGGCTTTCTATACAGTAGTATGTCACTGATGTCAGCTAGGACTGTATACCATGTACATGTACTTGTAGTAAAATAAGGATATTAATGTTAAGTTGCGATTTTGTAGCCTACAATGGATGGGTTTGCTACATACACAAAAAAAAATATAACTGTTTCCATTGCACAATAAATTCAATATTTTAGAATTTACATAATAGAATACTGATTAATTCAAAACTGAGACCACTAACCTCAATTGTTTTTATTAATTATTTAATTACTACTACTGTAATATTTAGTGAGAAGTGTTAAACCTGTAGGGGTCATACAGTGCCTAGAGTATGGTAGGCAACTTGGTTCGATCCAAGAAATGGGAGGACTGGCCCAGTTCCTTGGATCAAAAGACTTCCATTGACATTAAGGGGAAATAAATTTAATTATAATAAAAAATATTTATTTCATTTCTAATACACAATACAAATAGTAATAATTGCTATTCATTCAAAATTATTATATTCTGAATGTGATTTTAATAAAATTCACGAGGAACACTAAACCCATAAGGACCATATATTATTATTATAATCAAGGGGGAAGCGCTAAACCCGGAGGATTATACAGCGCCTGGGGGGGGGATATGTGGAAGGCATTCAGGCTTAATTCGGGGAACTGGAGCACAGATCCAATTCCCTAAATCAAGAGCCCCTCACCAACATCAAGGAACCTTCGTTGAGGGGTAAGGACCATATAGAACCTGGCGGAACCGGGAGGCAATGAGGCTCGCTCCATGGAAAAGCAGATCAGGTTCAATTAAGTAGATCAAGAGCCTGGTACCGATATCAAGGTCCCTTGAGGGAGCTGAAACGTGTAAAATCCTTTTTGTTGCCACAGTAGAGATGAAATTGAAGATGCAAGACGATGGTTGGAGTGACGAGATGAATACCGTATTAGAGATCATTGTTACGTTACTGTGATTGTTAACACAGCAACATAACCACCTCCCCAGCAACCTATGTACAGTACACACACACACACACAATGTATGATTCATTAACTGATAAAGATGACATGTAAAAAAGATAAGAGAACCTGAGCAGCGGCGTCCACGTCGACCCTGACTTGTTTACACCACAGCTGTGACCGCCCCCTACCCCCTGGGGGCGCCCCTCCCCATGAGGGGGACTTCCCTCCTCCCTACTGGAGGCGGCCCACCAACCAAAGGGGTTAAGAAGATAAGATTTCGTTCGGATTTTTAACCCCGGAGGGTTAGCCACCCAGGATAACCCAAGAAAGTCAGTGCGTCATCGAGGACTGTCTAACTTATTTCCATTGGGGTCCTTAATCTTGTCCCCCAGGATGCGACCCACACCAGTCGACTAACACCCAGGTACCTATTTGCTGCTAGGTGAACAGGACAATAGGTGTAAGGAAACGTGTCGGAATTTCCACCAGCCGGGAATCGAACCCGGGCCCTCCGTGTGTGAAGCGGGAGCTTTAGCCACCAGACCACCGGGCCACCTCACCTAATGATGCAATTATAAAAATGCTAGATCTGCTTTACACAGCATTGGAAAATATGCTATCTGTGCTTGGGGTTCAACTGCAGCAACACACCTAAAGCCAATAATAACCCAACAAAAAGCTGCAGTAAGAATAATCACTAAATCCCATCCCTGGCAACCCCCCCCCCACTCTTCATAGATCTAAACCAGCCGGGCTGTGGCTCGTACGTTGGTTTGCGTGCAGCCAGCAGCAACAGCCTGGTTGATCAGGCTCTGATCCACCAGGAGGCCTGGTCACAGACCGGGCCGCGGGGGCGTTGACCCCCAGAACTCTCTCCAGGTAAACTCCAGTACATCCACACTTACTACTGTGCAATCTACATCTACAGGACCTTAAATTCCAATATTAACCTTGACCTAAAACGTTTTCTTGATAGTTGCGACAGAATCCACAGGCATAACACCAGACACAAACATCTCTACGACATTCCCCGTGTCCGACTAAACCTTTACAAAAATTCAATGTATGTCAAAGGCCCTAAAATCTGGAAACACCCTACCTGAAAATTCTAAAACTGCAGACACATTCATCACCTTCAAAACTACCATCAGAAAACATCTTATCTCCCTGATACACCCCGTCAACTAACTACACGAATACCACCTGGTGGTTCACACTTACACTCACTCACCCATTTGACCATAAACAGAAATATCAATCTCAATCTCAAAATAATGAATCTTAACTAGTCATAAGTTGGCCTGTGAGACTCCAATACTGAAACTATGTATAGTGCCAAAACAAAAGCATTCATATTGCTAAACTCACAAACTAGTATTTAGTCACTTAGCCATAATACCAACTTACCTCATAATTTTGTAATATTTTAAACTTAAGATTTAATTTAAGTCTGCCTGAAATGCCTAGTCATGCTAGGTGTTCTAGTGGTACACTCTGTAATTATTATTTTACTACATGTAAACCACACAATAACCAAATTCTGTAAACTCAGCATTGTAATCCTTATAGAGAATAAACTTTGAATTTGAATTTGAATAAGGTACAAAACACAGCCCGGCTGGTCAAGTACTAACTCAATTTTAATCTGTCCAGTTTCCTCTTGAAGACAGCCAGGGGTCTATTGGTAATCCCCCTTATGTATGCTGAGAATCTGTTAAACCACCCTGGGCCCCTGACACTTATTGTGTTTTCTCATAGTGTACTCACGGCACCCCTGCTTTTCAAAGGTGCACCGATTATTTTTATGAGCCAAAATATTGATGAGAGTGATTGCCTCTTCACGGAGTATGAATTAGATAATGCATTAACTAAAGGTCGATCAACTGCTCCTGGAGAGGGTGGTATAACCTATGGTATTCTCAGAACTCTAAGGCATGTGCCTGATAACCCTTTGTTGGCACTGTATAATATCAGTTTCATTGAGGGCGTTCTTCCTACTTACTGGACCAATAGTCTCATTGCGCCTATCCCTAAGCCCCAACAGCCTGATACATTTAGACAGGTCTCCTTAACTAGTTGTATTTGTAAAATTTTTGAAAGAATGATACTTAACAGACTGTACTACAGAATCAGACACCAACTTTCCCCCTACCTCTATGGGTTCATGAAAGGTAAAAGTGTGCAGCACTGTATTTCCACCTTTCTCACTGCACACATCTCTACTAGATTTACCACATTACTTGATCTAAAATCTGCATTTGATATCACGAACAGAACCGTTATACTACATAAACTAGCCAAAATGAATATTGGTGGTAGCTTACTCTGCTGGATAATAGGATACCTGTCAAATAGAGTATCCTCTGTTCTTCATCAAGGCTTTAGAAGTGAGTCTAAAGAAATGTCCTTAGGTACACCGCAGGGAGGAGTTCTTAGTCCCATGCTATTTAATATTCTGATTAATGCTCTCCTGAAGATATAGATTGCACGGTAGTAAGTGTGGATGTTCTGAACAGGGAGTAAGTTTAGATCTCTGAAGAGTGGGGGGTATGTTGCCAGGGATGGGATTTAGTGATTATTCTTACTGCGGCTTTTTGTTGGGTTATTATTGGCTTTAGGTGTGTTGCTGCAGTTGATCCCCAAGCACAAATAGCATAGGTGAGGTATGGATAAATGAGTGAATGGTATAGTGTGAGAAGGGCAGTTTGCGGCACGTAGTATCGTATCTAGGAGAGGATCCCAACCGTTTTGGATACTTTTTTTGTTATGTGTGGGATATGGGTGCTGAAATTCAGGTTGTTGTCGAGGTATAGGCCTAGGAACTTGCCCTCGTTATGTCTGGCAATTAGAGTATTGTCGATCTTAATGTTAAGTTGCGCAACACCTGCTCTGCTACCAAACATAATATAGTAGGTTTTGTCAGTGTTAAGTGTAAGTTTATTGGCTGTCATCCAATCCCATATTTTGAGCAGCTCCTCGTTGACAATGGTGTTGAGGGTGGCAAGATTTGGGTGAGAGATGACATAGGTCGTGTCGTCAGCAAAGAGAATGGGTTTCAGGTGCTGGGATACATTTGGAAGATCATTGATGTAAATGAGGAAGAGCAGGGGACCAAGCACACTTCCCTGCGGCACTCCAGTATTAAGTGGCCGTGTCTTTAATGGTGACATACTGATTCCTATTAGTAAGGTAGGATTTGAAATATGCAAGCGCATGGCCTCTTATACCATAATGGTCAAGTTTGTGGAGTAGGATGCCGTGGTCGACTGTGTCAAAAGCTTTTCATAGGTCAATAAAAATTCCTAGTGGATATTCCTTATTTTCCAATGCTGTGTAAAGCAGATCTAGCATTTTTATAATTGCATCATTAGTACTTTTATTTTTCCTGAAACCAAATTGGCAGGGGTTGAGTATGTTTTGTGCCGTTATAAATGAATATAGTCTCCTGTGCACGAGTTTCTCGAAGATTTTTGATAACAATGGTATTGGCCTATAGTTGTTCACATCTGTAGGGTCACCACCTTTATGTATTGGTGTAACTCTATTGGACGACGACCTACTTACATAAGTGGCAGGTCCCACTGTGATCCCACCTCCTCCTGCTACGCCTCACCTGACTACAGTATATAAGCCACGTCTACGGCCCTATGCTGTACATTCTACAAGATTGATGGACTGAACACATCGACTCAAGGCTGAGGGACTGATTACCTCATACTCCTCCCCTCCTTATATCTTCTGCTTTGTATTGGACTGATGAAGCCACTGTGTGGCGAAAAGTTTCTTCAATAAAGATTCCCATGTGTTGCACAAGTGTCTCAATTCTTCAGGGTATCCGGTAAATGGCACCGATTGTTACAGGCGTCTTAAGGTTTTTTACAATAAAATTAGCAAAAATGTACTCCCCATATTCATCACTAAAGGAAGTGGTGCTAATACAAGATAGTTGGTTAGAGTAATAGACTGCAATACCACCCCCAACTTGGTATTGTCTTCAATTGCTATGGATCCCATCACACATTGGATTACTCCTCATGATAAAGTTGATATGTTAGCCAAGAAGAGTACTCAGAAGGAGAATGTAGAATATAACTTTGGTATATCTGTGTCTAGCATTAGGAATAATATTAGAAGAGAAGTAAAAATGAAAATGATTGTAATAGGAATGCAGTTAGAAGCCTGAGTAGATCTATAACCCACTATGATAACATGAACATAGATAAGTATGTTTATGGAGCAACTTGCAATGTGAACAGACCGACTGATGTTGTAATGGCCAGGCTTAGTCTTGGTTACAAGTACTTCTGGCAGTTTGGGAGACACACAGATGATGATCAAACTAAATGAAAATTATATGATCAGGCATGTGGTCACTCTCTTGAACACTATGTGCTTAATTGTCCACTTATTGAGGAATACAGAGATAGTATGATAACCTATGTGACATGTCAAAGTATCTTATTAATGAAAATAAGATACCAAATATACTAAGCAATTTTTCTGAATTTGCTTGTAACAGATAAGTGAACTATAGATATGTAGATATAAATCCATATGTACTCCTGTTAACCCTTTTGGGGCCTAGGTCCTAGGCCTTTTGTGTGTCCATATGCTCTTCCGCTACCGTCCACAGGATGGATATGGGGTGCACAATAAACTAGCCACTTCGGTAGCAAAATCTAATCTCTGGGTGCATCGAGAGTGACGCCCAACCATGTGTGAGACGGATGAACCGAAGATAATACATATGATAAAGAGTATGAGGGACAATTTAGACATACTGACCTGAAAGCTCCATTTTGTAGCCCTAGCAGTCACATGGGTCAGTTCCTCCTGATATGAGAGTATTAAAGAGAAGAGGAGTGAGAACTGACCCCTGGGGCACGCCCATGTGCCGGGCCAGAACCAGAGGTGAAACCTCCGGCAAAATTGAAACTTGCAGCCCTCAAGATAACTACTGTGGAAAATTAAATTTACCTGGATGTATCTCATTAGATACATACCAGTAAATAGTAACAAAGATAATTATTATTTATCAAAGTTACATAGACAAGTAGGAATTTTGAGACACCTATGTCGCAAAAAATGTCCCCCTTCGATACCTACTACTGTCATATCCACAAATCACTCTTGACCTATATTAATTTCAAATGAAATATACATTACCAGGAATTATGGTAAATATTAATATAAATTTGTGGACTGTATGTTAAAATTAATAAATGATTACATAAACACATTTATATAACAGAAGGAGAATTTATAATCATAACACTCACCAATTAATCTGGAGATTACGGTGTGTCATGTACAGAAACCCCCTCTGCCTATTTATGAAGAAAAACTGGCCAGAATTCTAACATAAATTAGACACTTATCTGAGGTTCCTGGAGCTGTCCTGTCCATCTGCTTAATGCTCACGTTATGCAGGACTGCACATCCAACAATTTCGGCTCCTATTTGAGAAGTTTTAAGCCCAATATAACCCCTAGAGTGACGACAATTATGCACATTTCACTAGTGTGCTTGTATCACATTCAAAAACAATGGCATCTCCTCCCTGCTC